CCCCCCCCCCTTTTTTTCTCCCCCAACCCCCAAAAAAATATAAATAAATAAAATGCACACATTTTACATGAAATGTAAATGATTTTTATTGTGTCACTGATGATGGTGAACGGGGTGTGTACCCCGTGGCCCCCCTCTTCCTACGACCAGTGTATAGTCTTTTTTTCACATTTGAAATAAAGTTTCAAATACTGCGCAGTAAGTCCATTAATTTTCTTTATTTTATTTTTTTAGTTTTCCACTCCAGGAATATGGGCACGGAGTGTACGATACTACAGATTGTAATGTTGACGTTAAGTTGGATTGTCGGTTTAAGCTGGGAGTTACCCCTACTCGTTTCTTCGACGCAAAGAAATCATATTTTTTTTAAAAAGTAAAAAAAAAAAAAAAGACTACTTAAATCATTTTTTTTTAAATAATTAAAATTGACATTTTCAATTAATTTATGTAGCATCGAAGTGTTCCCTTGGCTGGTTTGGCTCACAATGTCAGTTCAAATGTCACTGCGTTAGCGACGGCTGCAGCGCCACTGGGGATTGTCATGACGACGTAAAATGCGCCCCGACGTGGTTTGGATTGGGATGTCAGTACCGTAAGTAGATTGGATGCACTTCGTAAAGTCGAATTTCAAAACGGCGTCTTTTTGTCCTCTGAGGATAGCACAATGTAAAACGTGAACAAACAAAACAAAACGCCATACGGTCAACAGAGAGCGATTACAAAAATGTGGAGCAACGAAAACGCTAATGTTTCAAATACGCAGCCTGACATTGCCCTTGTTCAGAGGTTCCCAGTTTTGCTTGAGTCACAGAACCCTTGCTTCATCTAGGGTTTCCCAACGTGCCCTGTGTTCAAATTGAAGAAATACTTTTTTGACGAATAATTAGTACTTTTTAAGAGTTCCTGGTTTGAACTTTTCTAATAAATGTCGGGTAATATATATATAAATTAACACCTTGAGGCATTGCGGTGAGGAAGGAAGCATACAGTTTTTGAACCTCTGCCCCAGCCAATACCATTGGTAAGGTGTCTCTGTGCAGATCACCAACGTGAAGAATCAAATAATAGACCATAGATGCTCCACTGACAGCGTGCTAACAAAGCAATAACACACGAAGGGCCCAGTGTCGTGACGATGAAACAAGGATATTTAGAAAATTATAGCACACGCTATAGACTACTTGGGCAGATTTTTATTTATTTTTTTTTTTTTGGTTGTTGTTGTTTTTTTGTGGAAAAAAAATATTACCAATAATGTTTGCGTGCTTTAATATGAGCAACTCCGTTTTACATTCCCCCGAAAATTTAACCTTTTTTAAAAAAAAACAACTAAAATAATTTACGTGGTTGCAATTCAGAGTCAAGGACAACGGTGAGAAGTGTCTTCAATTTTTTTACATTTTTTAGTACCATGATGAACGATACAGTAACTTGGTTTTTTTTATTATAATTTTTTTTTTTTAAAATGCAAATAAAATGCCAGCGATCTGGATCCTGTAACTTTAGATGGGCACGTGCAACTTTACACAGTGAACACATACGTCGGCCGTATGTTTAATCAATTAGAATGACAAAAGGGACAAACGTATCCAGCCCATCAGGGGTGTTGCGATTTCGCTTCTCAAAGTTGAAGTTTTATTACTTCATTTGTATGGCGAGGAGGGGGGCGGGGAGCTGGGGGTGGGGGGAGGGGGGGGGCGTTAATTTCGCTCAGTGTGCCAAGTGAAGTTATGATAACATTTCACAGATTGGCTTGTGCTACGGCCCTAGGCGATTTTTTTAGTACTTTCAACAGAATAACTTAAAAGTTAACACGTGCTAAATATTCCTTGCAAATTCTGCACATGAAAAAAAACAGGTTCCATCCCTTGATCTATAGATTATGATCTCCAATAACAAGTTCGTCGATATAATACATTTAATTGTAACTCTTTATTTGCTATAAAGTTATGACTGGCTGAATACCAACAATCAGCAATTTCCCAAACGCATAGGTTTTTTTTTGTTTTTTTTCAAATGTGTATTTATAATAATTATTATCCTCTATCTGATTCTCAAAACAGCTGCAGTCAGAGACATCGAAATAAAGTTCAAAGGGTCCACCCCATCGGCAGTTCGTGAGTGCCGACACAAGGAATTCGTTAACCTAACAAGCCGTTTGTTTGAGATTCATTGCGACGCCCAGGGGGCTATCACGGAAATGACGTTGGAAGGGGATCATGTGGCGAAGTTGTGTTCGCTTAATGTGAATGGTGGTAAAATATATTGAGAAAAGCCATCGTAACTTATTAATTATATTTGCAAATCAACTTTTCTGAAAAATTCATGCTTATACGAGCTCCATTTATTCTTTGCACAATTATTTATTTTCAAGTCGCAAAATTTCATTTATAAAGGAAAGGCTCCACCCTTGTCATTTTGAAAAGCAAATATAAAAATGTTATGTTCTTACTTCTTGCTCTTCCATTAAGGTAGGAATGTTGCGTTGAAACAGAACACCACACAGTCTGAGGCTGACACGCCCGGCAACTTTCCCTCCGACTTGGCTGTCGATGGAAACCACCTGGCCGATTTCTCACAACAGTCGTGCACCCTTACGCACGTCCCTGACGTCAAAGTTAAACCGACCTGGAATTTGACATTCGATAAAAGTTACCTGGTTACAAGATTTGTACTGTACAGTAACGCTGATGAATTTGGTAGGTTGACCAGGAACTTTGACAGGATCTTGATTATAGTCAAGGTAAATTGGAGGGAGAGTACTCACATTAGATGATTAGAATAAGGTTTCCTATTTTAAGTAAGCTTGCACTTCAGTGTCGGTATTTTCGTGATCCTGCCCAAGTCATATACGCCAATGATTCTCAAACGGGGAGTCCGCTGACCGGCAGCGGTTCGCGTGCCCTTACGTTGCCGGTCCGCAAAATCTAAATGTATATGTTCAGTTTAAAAAAAAAAATGTAATCTGGCATCGGTCCCTGATGCTTATTTAAAAAGGTGTCCACCGGCCCCGCCAAGCTTAACAGTTTGGGAAACGCTGATCTATGGTGGCATTGTGAATTTAGACTTGGTGGTTAAAAGTTTCGCTATGTTTTACTGACCTGCGTTTTGGTATTCAAACCAAAAAAAAAAAAAAAAGAGAAAAATCAGCGACTTTACATGCCTCGGGTGCAAGTAACTGATCAGAGACTACTACCAAATACTTGATTTCCTTCTTTTTGTTAGTTTTTTGTAATCAGCGACTTTACATGCCTCGGGTGCAAGTAACTGATCAGAGACTACTACCAAATACTTGATTTCCTTCTTTTTGTTAGTTTTTTGGTCTTTCCCGCCCAACCCCCCCCCCCCCCCACAGCCCGCCTTTTTTACCCATAATAGTCATTGCCCTGCCTCCCCTATTATTTTGCCTCATTAGGACACGATTGTTTGATTTGATGTCACTGTTGGGATCAATATATCGTCACATTCAAAATAATTTGAAAAGAGTTTGCCGTAAACGAACTTTCGTGGCAAAGCTCCATTTTTTTCCCACAGCGCTACTGTGAAAAACTTAAATGACTTTTAAATAGGTGTAAACTCGACCAGGAAACAGCTTACCAATAAGATTTCAGTTTGACTTAATATAATTCCAAAAACCAAAAATCGAAGCTCTAAGGCAGTGGTCGGAAAACTACGGCCCACCAGAGGCTTATTAAGTTAAAGTATTCATATGGTGTTGTTGCTTTTTTTTAATTAAAAAAAACATTACAAGGAAAAAGCTAACCACAAAAACATTCATACAGCTAAAACAAGACCAGTAGTAATTCATGCCAGCAAAACTTGGACCCTGGCTAAAACAGCAGAAAACGTATTAAACGCTTGGTAGAGAAAAGATTCCCATGAATATATATTGTCAAGTATTAATATGACCAGATGACACGCGGACTATACCACGCTAATTGAAGAAATAAAAAAAAATGGCAGGCTGCGCTAATGGGGACACGTAAATAGTGAGCCATTGACATAAGAGCGAATAAGGCAGACCACAAGAATTCCATGAGGAAATCGGCTCAAAGACAGACCGACGCTTGGATGGAGACGATGTGGAAACAAATCTACAGCAGCGAGGAATCCCGCTAATGCACTAGGGGAAGGGGGGGGGGAAGAAAAGCATCAGTTTGTTCTGAATGGACAGAGGTGGTGGGGCAGACATAAGGCCTATTTCGGCGGCATCATCAATGAATTTACACATTCATTATCAACAAAAATCAACATCTATGTGAAAACATCATGTATCACCTTATCCACCCAATAGAATCGAGAAGTCACAGCTTCATGTCTCCAATGGAAATTTTTTATAAATTAGTATAAACATTATGGCATTTTAGTACAAGAAAATGTGGAAAACATATGTGGATTTATAAGTTTAAGCCACCTGGTAGCGTGTCCCAAAGTTGTTTTTTCACTCAAAATCGATACTGTGAGACACAGCAGCATTAGGCGCTTTTTCCCACCCAAATAACAATGTCAAAAAAATGATATTCCAGATTGCATTGATTGTTTTATTGACCAGTTTTAAAATTGAGGGTTTTGATATGCAATCAGTGATATTTTGAGGTGATCGATCTAAAACCAATGATAAGCAGAGACTTCGATCTAGAGCCAATGATACGTGGACGGGATCTATCTGCCTCCAATGTTATGTTGAAGTGATCGACCAGCTGACAATAGTATGCTGAAGTGGTCGATTAGCAGTCAGTGATAAGTTGATGTGATCGATCTGCAGCCAATGATATGTTGATGTGATCGATCTGCAGCAAATGATATGTTAAAGCGATCGGTTTGCAGACAATGATATGTTAAAGGGATCGGTTTGCAGCCAATGATATGTTAGAGGGATCTGTCTCCAGCCAATGATATGTTGAAGTGATCGATCCGCAGCCACAAATATGTTAAAGTGATCGATCTGCAGCAAATGATATGTTGAAGGGATCGGTTTGCAGCCAATGATAAGTTGATGTGATCGATCTGCAGCCAATGATATGCTAAAGTGATCGATCCGCAGCCAATGCTATATTGAAGTGATCAATCTGCAGCCAATGGTACGCTGAAGTGATCGATCTGCATATAAATAAAGAAGATAAATGCAAAGATGTAAAACTGATAGACGTACATAATAAGTAGTTCGTCCAGGCGGTCAATTGGCTGATTAACATGACTTTGGTGAGTTTATTTTAATCTATGTCGCTGCCTTCTTGTTTGAGAAGACATCAAGAATAAAATATATTATCTAGCAGCAGAGAGCCTTATATCATGAGCATTAAAAAAAAAAGTTAAAAAAAATAATCTTGGCACTAACAACTATATTTCATTTGTGTCGAAAAAACCACCAGCTTCATGCTTCTCACTAATCTACAAGAGAAGATTGTGGTAATAATTTTTTTTCCTACTACCGCTCTCTCAATGAAATTAATTTAATCCGATTATGTTCGAAAGACACTAATTTCTTCAATTTCTTGCTTTATGTCTCAAAACGCAGTCTCATGTGTGACTAATATGTATAATTATTAACAAAAACATTACAGAGAGTTTACACAAAAAGATTTTTTTTTAAAATAGCCAATTAAATGGGATTTAAGTATAGTGTAGTGAATTGATTATGCTAACAACATTTTAAAAACCAATTACAGGAGAAATTATTACTAGACACTTTTTAACAGTCGGAACGAAAACAAACTCAAACTGTTAATGAGCCTGGAAAATATTTTTAAAACAGACAGCAAATTGAGAAGAATTGAAAATATTTATTTTTTTTAAAATGAATACGCAGGGAAGTGTGCAAACAAACGAAGACCCCGAAGACCCCAATATTTTTTTCGTGAAACGAATGGATTTGGTTTTGAGTGGGGGGGGGGGGGTATCTAAGTCAAACTGTTTTTATTGTTAGTCTCACATCGCTCACTTCTGTAACATCTGTTTTCATATCCAGGAGAACGGCTGTTGGGTTTCCGCATCCAAGCATTCGATGCTGATGATGCACTCGTGTTTAGTCACGTGGACAACGGAACAGGAAATAGAACTGTGTTTGAGGTTTCAAATAGGGCGTGGAGGAGACCTATACTTCGCGTATCGATCCTGGCCAATGTTATTGATACTTTCAAAAACAAAGCGATATTAACATTATGTGAGGTGGAAACGTATGCAGGTATTTTGTATGGTGAATTTTTAAAAAATGTTTAAGATGTCCGTAAAGCATTAAATTAATATGAAGACTGTATACAAATATTTATATATATATATATATATATATATATATATATAT